AGACTGAATACAAATTATAACAAGAAATGAACTACAAGAGCAGTATACAAATTTCAAGAAAAATTATGTTCATATTTCACCACTTACAAACATAGAAAAATATATTGTACTTGGACTGCATAAGAGAATAAGGCCCTATAATTTCTATTAAAGTGATTCTGCATCTGAGTTCAAAGGAAAAGTCTTACATTGGGGTTCCATAATGTTCTATTTGAAACATTCAAATATTTTCCCTTATCTGGTGCTGATTTGATGCTTTTTTGGAAACATATGGGGGTATGTATGACCCAATGCTTCCAATTTATACTTTATGTAACTGGCGTCATGATACAGAAAGTATGGGACACAAACTGATGCATTTCCTCTCAAACAGCTATGGTTCTGAGAAAACATCATGGTCAAATTAGTTTGTACATAAATATACTCATTACAAGGGCAGCATTCAAAAAATTATTAAAACACTGAAATACAATCAATCCTATGCAACATACATATATGAATGGATGAATTTCACAGTACATCTGAGTGAGCTGACAATTGAGCAAGCGAGCCAGCTGTAAGTCAGCCAAAACATCTAACAAACAACTTGAAACAAGGCAACATGTCATGTCGGTCAGAATCCAAATACCTTCCTCTACCTCCTCCTCCTCCTCAATAGTTGTACACTTGTGTGCTTCATCAACATCCATGCTACTAGAATTATTCAGAGCTAATCTCTGCATCTTGTGGACCATTGCAATGGCGTGCATCAATTGCTGTGGAGAAACAAACAGTAGTTTGATGTTCGCACCACAAAGGCTGCTGCTGTGTTCTCTCTCTCTCTTTCTCTCACTGCCTTCAAAATCCACATACAATGCTTGCAAAACTTCTGATACACATCTGAGATTTCTTGCTGATATCAAAGCGACATATTCAAACAACATAATTCTGAGATATTATTTGCTCTATATGTAAAATTATTTTGAAGGTTTTCACCCTATCCGAATGCAAAATGTTGTAATAAACAGACACTCTGATCAATATGTCTTTGTTAATAAAAAAAATAACTTTCAATTCAAATATGTATACGATTTGAATTTGATTCATAGAATACAGAAGTTTACTCTTATCTCTCAGCACATTTCAAATCTCAAACACCAAATTTCTTATGCCATAGATAAACTGTATACAAAACCTGTATACTGAAAGACCACCACAAATTTTCATACAGCTTGGGTATTATACTTCAACGATGATTCTAACTAAAAAGTGATAGACCAATACAATTGAAAGAACTGACAAGTTTCAAATAAGTGTTAGTTACATCACGTGTTTCTTCAGTGTTATGTCTTATTGTTTTTCTGTTAGTAAGGCATATTCTATGAACCAGTAAAATCAACAAAAATAACACGCACAAATATCTACATTCCATTTGCAATGCAAGTTTTCTAATGTCAGAAACAAAGCTCTTCAGAAATGTCTACTAGGATCATCCCTAGCTGAGTAATGGGCATGGAAAATGAGAATTATGGATTACCACAATCATTCCTCTTGTGTAGGTCTCTATTACCAAAATAACTATCTCAGTTTTTGCAATGAAAGTACTGTAACAAATATTTTCATAATGGAAAACAATTAGCTCTTGCCTTACTTTCATAATTATTTGCATTCATGATATGTCTCTGCTCCCTTAAGAAGGAGAATAACAATACATTTTCAAAAGACATAAGGAATGTTTGTTATCAAGCAAGAGAATTATTTCACACATCTAATACCCGAACACATTCAGACAGCATAGAAATATTTCAATGGTGGTGACAACTACATAATCCCACGTTAATGACAAGATACGGTTGTAATATGATTTAAACTGAATTATAACGAAGATCATACATAACGATTTGAACTGATTTGCAGATGATACAGCAAAGAATGTGTGCGAAATTATAGTTGAAAAAGAGAGCACAAAATTACCGAAAAAGTTAAGAACAAGATGTTTATATCATTGCTAAGCACCATAACTAAAACAATTCTCACAATATAAGGAGAATGTGATGTCTATATATATAAGTGTAAATATACAATTATTGATTTGATGAGATTAAGAGCTGTAGGTCATAATTATTTCACTGTATACATGAAACAATAGGTTCTTTAAATACATCACAACCCTTGGAAACTTACTTTATTGGTTGTTCTGTTTTCTGCTTGTGTTATCCTCATAAGAATATCAAGAACAGAGACTGAAACATAACTTCTCTCAAACAACAAAGCTCACATATTTATAACTCTTGAGTTTTAGTCAGGGCTCTTATTTTCATTCACTATATTTCATAACAATAGGCAAAAGTATTCATACCGTGTAATACTGTGCATTGTTCAGCTATAAATTTAATTCCTGATCATATCAACTGTTAAAATGAGGAAGTACAAAAATAGTAATTGCTGACTGGACTTGCATTTGTAGACTGTACAGGGACAGCTGCATGTTCTATCACTTAAAGGTCTGTAGCAACAGAATGGAATCCCCAGACTCACTCATAGCATAATGGTGACAACACAAAAAAGACATTTCACAATCCTGTATCTAAAACTAACTTTACCATGAAGACCGCTTCAGCTTCCAGGAATTTCAGTAGCTGAATCATAGTAGTAAGTTTATCAAACAGTAATGTCAGAATTACCAAAGACTAGGACTTCATCAGAAATTAGGCATGAAACTTAAAAAAATAAATAAATAAATTCAGCAACCGATCAAGAGCCTCCAGTGCAACCGATATGCAAACCACAAAAGGTTTTATAAGCTCCTTCAAACTCAATTTAAAATGCTGAAAGATACTGCTCTTTGTGGTAACCTCACTGTCCTTTTTAGATGTCTATATATCCAAGATTTGGACCAAGCTCATGAGGGTCATCTGGGCATAACCACAATACACAGAAGGCTACATGTAAAGAGGCGATGGAGAGGAATAAATACTGATGTGGAAAACTTTATGAAGAGTTACCATGGTTACCAAATGGAAGCATCCAATCCTTCAAAAATTACAGTACACATTTCCTTACCAACTCAAGCTGGGATATAGATGCAATTGATTTTATAAGTTATCTGCTTTCTGATCATTTGTGCTGTACAGCTGATTATTACTCCTGATTTCTTGAAGAAGTAACAGTCATGAAGGAATAAACAACTACTAGGGTCACAGAAGTTTTGAGAGCTACATTTTATTGTTATGAGTACTTCCTACATTGAATAATGCACCTCACTTTGTGCCAGAAGTTTTCAAAATGTCCTCTCAGATATGGGCACAGAATATTGTCTAATAACTGTACTATGGTTGCAGGTAAATGGGGTTACAGAATGTCAAAATAGAAACCTATTTAACAAGTTGCATATTGCTCAGGATACTGGTGAGAATTAGAGAGTGACTCTTTTAACACATCCACTGACTTATGGCTGTACACCTCATCTGCATAGTTACAGGTATTCCACCTACTGAGCTTATGTTGCTTAAGCCCATCTGTTCTAAGTTTCCTGATTTCCACTTTGAAACTGAGATATTCTGGAGGAAGACATATGGCAAAAGTATTTAGGCAAGATTTATGCTAACAAAAGGAGTCAGTCTCTACCAAGCAAATCCAAGTGATTTCACACTTATGAGAAACCAACGAGAAAATAAGTTATCAGCCAAAGTTCATTCAGAATCAGGAATGGTAACTGAGCACCATTGTTCAGCTGTAAATGTATACACTCCAGAAGAATCTCAGCTGGAGAGAAATGTCTCAAATTTCTGTTATCCATAACAAGGAGGAAAAATAGCACAACTTCACCTGCTAAGCCCATCAACATTGAATCTACATATCTTCAACCAGCCATGGAAATTTTGCCTCATTCTTCACATGACCTACAGTTTATCCATTCACAGCTTCCGTAGACAATGTTGTGTCTGTTGGTGAAGACACCATTTACAGAGAGTGAACCTTCTATGACTGATCTGTCTATGCCAGTAGACAGCAAAATTACTGCAGCTGGAAAATGTTAGCATGTCTGAAGAGGTCCAGTATGGTGTAAAGATCAATTTATTCAAAAGTCATAACGCTGAACTTTTTCTCAAATTTCCAATTAAATGTTTCTACTGCCATTTTGTACAACGTTCTGTACCATATTGCAATGCTGTTAGTTGTGAATGAGTGCTTAATTTCATTCTTCTTCAGTAATTACTGAGTCTGGGAAAAAGGGATGAGTGTTTGATATCATTCTTGTTACTTAATGTGTTTGGAAGGAGGGGGAATGCAGTAGTGCAGTGTCACAAAGGTGTAATACTGCAATAATGTGTGAATAGACGAAAAAGAAAGGAGCCAACTGGTCTTGCAAATAAGACTGAATGTAAACAGTTCTTCAGAGCTGTTAATTTCATAATCTGTCATCATCATCATCATAATCATCATCATCAACAACAACAACAACAACAACAACAACAACAACATAAAACTTCCTTTAATTACAGGCAAAAAAAAATTATGCTGCTCTTTCATAATAAGAAATATACCCTGCTGAAATCAGACTTCTGATGTGTTCTCAATTACTGATGAAATCATAATACTGTATTGTCCTTAAAATAGTGTCTGATATTTTTTGTCTTGGAATCAATGAATGATGATAAATATTTCTTTGGATTTTTTTACAGATGGCAAACAAAATCAAATGTATGCACATTTGAAGGATCTGTTATCAGAAGCCCTGCACAAGATGTATGCATTTTAAGAAAGTGGCATAAATATTAAGAAAAAAAATGGCACTTAGGATAACGAAGACAAAAATATATTCTCACAAAAGACCTTATAATTTACCAAGTTTTGATCTCTGAATATAATTAATAAGGGGACAGAAGAGTAGATACTTTCACCTTTCAAACAGAGAATGGAAAGCAGTATTGTTCATAGAGAAAGAGAGAAGAAGAAACTGTGAAGACCTGGCAAGTGGAGTCATTTTCAAGTGTCAATTAAGAAGAGTTATATACTACCTTCCACCGCGACTTGGCAAAGTTCTTCTTGAGCTGTTCAGATACAGTTCCATGAATATTCTTATTACTGGCAGCATTACCAGATATCCTGGAAAAGAAAAAATTAACCCTTATGTTTCAGAAAATAACATGCTTCTGTATATGGGGAGTTCATGAGACTACACCATCTAATTTGCTGCCTTTTAAAGGCACTTCTTCCACCAGTATGCAGATAATTTAACTGAAAGAGCATAGTTATCAAGTCACTTCATTTTCATTGTACATTCTTTATGTGAACAAAATAACACGGAAAAAAAAATAAATTTACTTCGAATTAAAAGGCATCTATCTGTACTTGTTGCTCACTCATGGAGCTGAGCCCTTCTTGAGAAGCTGCCAATTGTGCAGCAACTCAAGAATTTCCAAGCATTTTATGGAACCCGAAGGTTCATTACCATGTTCAGAAGAACCCTCCACTGGTCCTTATCCTGAGCCATATTGATCCAATCTATACCATCCCATCCTATCTGTCCAAGATCCATTTTAATATTGCCCACCCACCTACATCTTGGTTTTCCCAGTGGTCTCTTTCCTTCTGGCTTTCCCACCAACATCCTATATGGATTCCTCTCTGCCCCACCTCCCTCCCCATTCATGCTACATGCCTTGCCCATCTCATCCTCCTCGACTCTTTCTTTGCTTATAATAAAATAAAATAAATCACAATTTAGTCTTTCATGTAAGTTAAACAAGCAGCAGCAATTACACAACATTGCTACATAGTTCCTTGCCTAGTCTGGCAATTAGGTGATCCTTATGTGGTATTTAGAAACATAGCATAATAATCCATATATATGGGTTTAATTTATTCTAGAACTGGAGACGCTAAAACTTCTTAATTTGTTTTCAATGTACAACAGTGATGGCAGACATAAATAAATAAAGATAGCCTAAGATTTTATGTCATGTTTTTGGTATTCATATCATGCTGAAATCTTAACTAGTGAAATACAATACAACTGTTCACAGCCCATGTAAAGTTCTACAGCAGCAGATACTGGACAGAATAAGGATGCAAATGAAAATGTCTTGAGAGAGAACTCAGATGGGGGTTTGGGCTTACATAGACTCCTGAAAGGGGAGGAAACTTGATGTTATGAAATCACCAGAAGGAAAAACTTATTAACTGCACAACAAATAGTGGAATCTGTAAATAATTACTAGTAACCGTTCCAATTGTAAAAATAAACAAACTATATTACTTTAGTTATGCCTGCCTAAAATGTGAACACAGCAACAAACTCTGCCCATTTCTTATTTATGAAACAGAGCTCTTATTAGTTTCTGTTCATTTACTTTTCATCTCATGTCATTCTCTCAGAACACCCAAGTCTTTGTCATGTTACAAAGTATAAGACCAGCTGTATGAAACTATGACAATATCGCCCTTAATTTTGAATAGCTAATATTGAGATATATTCATGGTTTATTTCCAATGAACGACTTGTATATAGATCATGAAGTCTCTAGTTGCTTACCAGGGATGTGCCAATGCCTGGCGACATGTATATCTCTTCTCTACATCTACACACATGAGCTGGCGAATAAAGTCTTTGGCAGAGTCACTGATGTCGTCCCAGTAAGGGGCATCAAACTCAAACTCACCTGAAAGGGGCCACACATTATTCACATCTTCAAATTTGTAGGATATATTTTGCAATGTGATAAAATTCAGAAGTGGGATAGACAAACGTGGACATAAAGAATTATGAAAGAAGGCTTTCTGGAGTAAAAATATTTTAAATAATATAGATTTCAGAGTAACTGGTAATTCTGCTTTTATATGCCGGTTTATACATAAACATATGAGTAGTAGTGGAAAATACACAACATGTAATAGAGTTTATCTTAGAATGGTAGAGTCTTTAGAAACCACATGTGAAAACAGTCATGGCTGTTGCATTTCTATTCACATCAATGTACCTACATACACAGTTCAGTTCCATTACCTCAAATCTATTTTTTTCTGAGATCCTTAAGCTGTACTTAAGCACTGGAATAAACTGAATTTTTTAGTGGTGGTGGAGGTGAGAGCTCTAGCTAGTAACTTCATATTGTTACAACATCTCAGTCAGTATAGCGACTGGCTACAGGCTGGATGACTGAGGGGTCAGAGTTCGAGTCCTGGTTGGGTTAAAAATTTTCTCTTCTAAATGTCATCCAGACTGGCTCTGGGGCCCACCCAGCCTTCTATCCAATGGGTAACAGAGGCTCTTTCCCCAGGAGTAAAGCAGTCAGAGTGTGAAGCTGACCACTTACCTGAAACTAGTGCCAAGGTCACAGAAACGTGGATCCATATATCCACTCCCCCACACACCTTCATGGCATTATGCTTAATTAATTAAGCACAGGGTCAACTTTACCTTTATACATGTTTAAGTTTTAAGAACTCCTAATCTAAAAAGTGTATTTCCTTCCTATCTATTTATTTAAAACCAACGAATATGGACATTATATAAAAAATAAAAGCAACTACCTGACATGAGATCTCCAGCATATCTGCACATGTCACACAAATAAAATGTAATGACCCAAGACACATCCTTATATTACATGACTTGGTAAAAGTTTCAAGAACCCCACATTGTTTAATTCATTTTTCATACTGAATCCATAACCTATGGAAGTATTATGTTTCCATGACCCAACCCTTTAATGTTATATTGCACCTGTCAGTTAAGCACACTTGAGAAGGCTTACCTTTTTGGATTTCATTAAATGACATCATCATATGGAAAACATAAGTGCAGAATTATAATTTATTTTACCATAACTCAGGTCTTAATTTTTACTGTGTATGTCAACACAATCTTAGTTAAAAGAAATTAAAAACATCCATTATTTTGATTTCACATTACATTCAAATGACAAAACATATTTAAAATATTTATACAACACCTTTTAATATCTGGGCGAACAAATTTGCATCATTTTCATCATAAAATGGTGGATATCCACATAGAAGAATGTAAGATATAACACCTATACTCCAAACATCTACTGCTTTGCCATAGGGTTTCTGGGCAAGTACTTCAGGAGCTGCAAGAAATAAAACAATATCTTCAGCATAAAAATATATTATACCTCCATTACAGAAGAAAAGTCTCCATCATGCTTCCTTACATTAGGTGCCTACAAGTTATGCATTATGAAGGATGAATAGACAAACATAACAATGAAAAGAAAAGACTACAAATTATCTTCCCATTAAATTACAGAAAACTAAGGCTGAAGTATCCTAATATAACTTAACGCCTTGATTTACACCTTTAAAGTCACATTACATGAATTCGGAATCATATTTAAACAGGCAAATGAATAAGGCCATTTAGGGAACATCAGAACATCAGACTCATGGCGCAGGTATTTCACATTTCACTACGCTCAGAAGTCTGATTACTTACTAGATGCAACAAGTTAAATCCTACTAATTTTCTTTGAATAATAAACTGCATATTTGACTTTGTTCATCCTGGCCTGTCCCACTAATAACAGTATAAAAGATTATCAACGCCATCCAGTATTACTGATAAATATGGTGTTTTTTCATCTTTCATCCTTTACATGTTTTGGTTGGAGCAACCACCTTCAGAAGGACATTATTAAAACTACTAATCATAGGTAATAATCAGTTTTTACAGAAACTACTATTACAATGTCATAGATATAAAATATGTATTAATCCTTTAACAATTACTAAGGTTTCCATGAATTTGTTAAAACATTTATAAGTCATTATAATTAGTCTATTCACAAGGTACTGTTTCAAAAATGTTTTGTTAAAATCTAGAGCCAGTTTGGTTCATGTCTTTATACTTCTTCTCTTTAAAGGAAGATGAACGTATTCCATGTCATGATTCCATTGTTTGACGAAGAGGACACTTCAGTGTCTTGTCCAGTTGTTCAGGCCGCGCTTTGTTGTTATATTGTATAGCAACTATAGTGTCGGTGTCCAGTTCTTCAGGCCATTCTGTGTTGTTATACAACACAGTATGGCCTGATTATATCTAAGATGGATTTTCATATTTTAATACATTTTTACAAAGCAAAATGAACTTGTAATGAGATCTCAGTTGGAGCGACTTCAAAGGTGAAAGAGAAAAAGTTGACTACATAATTCCAAAAAATACATTCCAATCAAAGAAAGAAAAACAATATTTCTTAAAGTCAAGCTTTTTAAATTTGTAGTTATAATGTAGACTCCCATTTTCTCTCTGTGGATTATCTAATTTATGGCTTCTCTGTGCACCTCTTTGGCAGATTCAAAGCCCTACAGAACACACATTAATTTCAATCCATTCATCCATTCATCTGTATGCAGAACCACTGAAAGACATGTCATGAAATCTGATATTTGAGAATTAACTTAAAACTGTTCAGCCACTTCAATTTTTGTTTCCATCACACAATTTTAACAACCACTTTACATGAAGACTTACATGTATTTGAGTGCATAACTCAAGCAGGACTCACTAAGTACTTACTGGAGTGAAAAATGTTTCAAAGAAAATTTGTAGAATTTGAGCATCTCACAGTGGTGGTTATGAAGAGTTGTATCTTCTGCGATATAATGCTGTGTAGTCTGTTGAAAATCAATCGATATTTCCAACCAATTTTTCACCTCCATCTTCAACTTAGAATAAGCCAAGCAAGAAACCAGCATGAAAGCAGGTGGCAAGCAGAGCAGCATGTTTCTCCAAAACGATGGTTTACTTTCAATGGGATACAGGTGTTACATCAGAAGAGAAAGAACTCTTCATAATTTGTTGAGAAAAATGAAACATGTCTCATGTTTAATACCAATTTCAAAAAGTCTTATGGTTTCTGAAAAAATCACATGGACTGGATGCCTTGTTTACATTTCTGAATTTGTGCATTTAACAGTCACCATGATCACTCAGTCACCCTCAAAGATTACCACTGTATTATCTGTGTTTCTATTTATTTATACATCTTTTCCTGTTTATTAGCAGAGATAACTGGGAATACAGTGTATCAGAAATGAAATGAAAAACTGTTATACATAAACACACAAAGGATGAATACGCAGTAGCACATGTTCTGATTCCTGATGCTACACAGTCTTGATACTGATAGCATCGTTGAGGAACTACCTGAAAAGAATTCTGGCTCTTCAATCCAGGCCAGTCAGTATTCATGAAGAAATAAGATGGCCTCTGATTATGTGGAACAATCAGAGCCCATATCACTATGTGACTATCCATATAATGAAACAGATCAGACTTTAATTACTCATTTCTCTTTATGGTAGTTGCTGGAAACCCAAGAAAATAAAACAGTTCAACTTAAGAAGTGGGCCTGAAATTTACATACTGCCACAATAACAAATGAGGGAGAGCATCATCCAATGACAATAATTATGTAAGAGGATTTATTTAAGATAAACACTATTTTACAAATAACATATTAATATTTAACTGGAGCTTAAATCTGGCTGTATAGCCTTGCAAAGTTATGAGGTTAAAACGCAGTGTACTTCACTTGATCAAATGGGTCACCTTTAACATAACTGAAGTTTTATGGTTGCATGTTTAGGTATTATGTCTTAAACTCCATGCATAAGACAAATACACATAACAATGAACCCAAATGGGTATATATGCTTGTGTGTGGTGAAGGTGGTAAAGTCTAACTTAATATTATGAATTACAGTTGCATAGCTATTCGGCCTAATCATAATTTTTTTTGTGTAGCACAAATAACTTCGATTGAAGAATCTTCGTTTCTCTTTATTGGTCGAAATGATGAATCTATTTATCATTACAATGAGCTATAATATGGTGTGACATGAGTGTGTCAGGTCCTGTGTGCTGCAAGAAATATCAGTCAGCTCAGCAGGAGAGGTACAAAGACAGCCGAATGCATCTATCATAAGTGATTGATTCTTCCTTCGCTTCATCAGCTTACTATCATATAGTACAGTACAGTATAGTATAGTTGTATAGTTTTGAAGGATGGGGTAATTCTCAACTATAAATTGGAAGATATCACGTAGAAACTGGTTATGTTCGATCTTATGGCAGTGTTCCAGGATTTTCTGGTGGTACTGAGGAAATGATATAAAATCCCAGCCAGGATAATGGGTCTTCTGGTCGAGAAGCGATGGCCAGTGATCTCGAATGCAAAGTGAGTGTTAAGCACTACCTTTAAGAGATACGAATAATACTGAAACATACTGTGAAAGTAAGATCCGTGGTGAGAAGCTGTCAGTGATAAAGATTGTGACAGAAATATGACTTGTTATTAGCGCTATAGCATAGTATCTCTTAGTCTTGAACTCTTATTAGCAAATGAATGAATAGCAAAGTTGTACACTTAATGTGTAAATTACTAGACACTTGCACTGTCCTTCTGTAAGTGATTCAGACATCTAATTTCTTGTGAACTGAATCTGCCTGAATTATCTGCTCTTTCAGCCTGATTGTAACAAAGGAACATACAGTATAAGGCTTATTAAGGGCCCGAACATTATTCCATTCGAGGCTTGTTTCTATTTAACACAGGCAGTAAACAATAATTAGGCCATGGCATAGCTCAAGCGGTTAGTCGCTGGCTTCCCACCACGGTGGCCCGGATTCGATTCTGGGTCTGGTCAAGTGGGATTTGTGATGGACAAAGTGGCGCTGGGGCAGGTTTTCTCCGAGTACTTCGGTTTCCCCTGCCAATCTTCATTCCACCAATTGCTCCACAATCACCCTCACCTATCATCTGGGGCTGGTACAATAGGCCAGAAATGGCTGCAGTACAAGGGACTTAGTCCCACTCCACTAGCAATAAAAAAAATCTCCTTGCAGTAGAACCAAAATTTCAACACCAATGATCACAAAGCCTAGTACCAAATGTGATCCTACGTCAGTTCCATCCAAATTCCATCTGCAAAAACTGCTACCCTAAGACCTATCATATTCATAATACTACCCTTCTATCTCATCTTCAGTCTTCCAAGACTCCTATACAGATTACTGTATATATGTATTCCTTAGCTTCCCCTTTCTAGCTACATGCCCAGCCCACCGAATGTTGCTAGATATTACTATCCTAACAATATTAAGTCACACTTATTCATACTTGTTCAATATACGATGGGGTACCCAAAAGAAACCGAACTAATTTTTTTGTGGGCAGAGCTTTTGTAGTACCGCGTTTTGCCGCTATGAGCGCATAGAGCTAACATTCCTGAGTCGATAAGCCGACTACCGTTGCTTCAGAAGGTAAGGACTAGTTTCGGCAGAGTTTATAGTGACAACTGTTTTGTGTCATCGTCGTTTTTGCAATGGCCCGAACACATGAAAATGTTGTAAAAATTCGTGAAATCATCAAGGAAGATCGACGACGGACCATTGAAGAAATTGTGGAGCTGTCGGGAGTGACTTGGAGCTCAGTTCAGCGAATTTTGACAGAAGATTTGGGAATGAAAAGGGTGGCTGCGAAATTCGTGCCACGACTGCTGACTGCTGAACAAAAACAAGGTCGCGTGGAAGCATGCTGTGCTTTGAAAGAAGAGTCCCGAAATGAAAAAAAATTTTTTTCAGCGTTTTGCTGATGTTGCTGAGGTGAAGGAAAAAAAGACGGAGGCACTGTCAAGCATCTCAAAAGATGAATTTAGACAATGTTTTGAAAAATGGAATAAAAGACTAGACAAGTGTATTAGTGTAAGTGGAGAGTACTTTGAAGGGGATTGAAGGTTTGTGCTTAAAATTTGAATAAATAAGTTAAAAAAAAATAAGTTCGGTTTCTTTTGGGTACCCCCTCGTGCTACACCAACCACCAAGTTTACATGAATGCTGATACCACAGTCAAGTGGTGATACTGGTAATCTTGCTCTCCCACATCTATATCCTTCACAGACAGTGAGTCAATTATCATTTAGCAGTGGACCGGAATACAGAAATAAAATATAATTAAACAAACAACTGTTTTAAAACCTTTTTCTTTCCTATAGCTTAACACGTCAGAATTTGATACAACCAAATGGATACTGCTGGACCTAATGTAATAAAAAGCAGTAGTAATTTTTAACAAGAGCCAACATTAAATGGTCAGTTAGTGCCTAGATAGATGAATTGAAATGGTGCAAAAAAAGATCAAATTGTAGAATTCTTTTGGAGAAACTGAAGGATAAGTATCACAAACTCTGTCAATCCAAAAAGCACTAGAATTATATTTTTAGTACATAAAATATGCCATGTAAAGTAAGTAAAAGTCAAGGTATCCCTGTAAGAGGCCGTGAAGACCCATAGGGTTGTGAGATGTTGAGGGTCCCACATTATCTAGACAATCAGCTCAAAGATGGCGGTAAGGCTGTCAGCCTTATGTGCCAGCTGCTCTTCACTCTTCAGGAAAATTGTTTAATTAATTGCTGGTACTCATTTCTGTTAGAGACTGAGTCGACCCCAGGGCCATAGTGCGGCCAGAAGGATTAGGTCAATTGAAAAAACTCCAATGACCTCATCGGGACTTGAAGCCGCGACCATCCGGGTTGTAGCATAGTGCCATGTACACGTACATATGTATTTTTCATACATTATTATACAACTTACTACTGATATTATTTTAGTTTATTTTAATAGCTAGGACTGACTGTAGTTCTACAGCTAACAAACTCGGCAAGAACACTATGGACTGCTCTCTTTAAAAATCTGCATGCAAACAGAAGCAGCCTCTTCAATGTATAAGTAAATTGAAATAATGTGTGATGATGTGTGTGTTTGTCAAGATTCATGATATAATGTAATACATACAATAAATGTTTAAGATGCATTTTACACACTAAAAATAAAATTAAACAGAATGTTGCAACATAAATGTTTAACCAAGAAACAGAAGATTAAAAGATGTCTTAAAGAGGGCATACTAATACTAGAACTTCAATCCTGTGATGAATGTGAAGAGCTTCTCTGTGCAATGACCCACATGTGAATCTATGACCCTACTTGTAGAGATGCACCAGGGCGAGAAAGATTCTCACCCACATAGCCTGGTGTTCCACATGCCGTTGCCATTACACCAGAATCTTCCATTTTAGAGAGTCCAAAATCACTGATCATGATCTTACTGTCTTCGTCTGGACTATAGTAGAGGAGGTTTTCCGGCTGAAACAAGACAGAACGAATTAGGAAGGCCTACCAGTGGTAACATGTGGCTTCTTGGAAGACCAGGCTCCAGACGCACAGTCAAGGATACTTAAGAGACATTGAAGAGAGTACTTTCGTATGGCGTGTATATAAGTGAGAAAGGTAAATTCTGATGGGTATAATGGGCAATATTTCTTTGGCAGCAAACTAGAACTGTGTATGATGGGTAAGAGGTTAGGTTTTTATAACTGTTATAAGGATAAATTAGTAGGACTGCTTACTATGGATGGGCTGTTTTACGCCAATTAATGTGGCATTTCCCAGTCCATGTGTGACATGATTCCAAGTGTGCCATGACATTTTGAATTCAAATATACTTCTGCGCCTTCAACAACACTTCAAAAGTGTGGTATGTAATATCAATAAGATACTGTTCTTCTCGTTTCATCATCTCACTGACTTATAATGCTGCTTTTCTGTCAACATTCAAGTGGGTGCTATGCTGTGAACAATGTGCCAAAATTAATCATTCTTGGGAGAAACGCCATTTTGTTTGTTTTNAAGTGGAGGAATTGTTTTGAAAGAGACTGTGGACCTGTCGTCTTGACAGATTACTGATGATGATGATGATGATGATGTCCTACTGTTGTAAGCAAAGGTTTCTTAAAAGTTACAAGATAATCACTGTTGGCTCACTCCATACCCCCCATGCCTAGTCATGCTAGTATTTTATTTTGTCCTATTGTATTTACTAGCTGTACAAAGTACAAAAGAGGGGAATAATTTAGGAATTTTACTTTCCAGGGCAAGATTTAATCTGAGATGAAGACATTCTGAGAGTGCTGTATGAACTGACCAATGATGAAAGGAAGAGATGCGTGGTACACTGAAGTTGATAAAGAGTTCAGAAAAGATTAAACTGTCAACCTCAGTGATCATGATTCTGAATATGAGCAAGAATACTGAGAAAAGTTGGCGCAGTTCTGCAAAAGATGGCAGTTACTGCTTCGTTAAAAGAGATATAAACTACATGGAACAAATATAATTTTTCTGCATTCAGGAAAACTAAAATAAGAATATCATCAAAATTTTGCCTGGGCCAACAGCATTTGCATGAGGAATTAGAGATGACATATCCACTTGTCATAAATATTTGTTATTGTGAGATTATCTTGTTTTTGGCAGTTATTTTCACTTTGTTATGATCTTGACGTAAATTTGTTTTGTTCAATTCTATTGCACCTTGTGACACTGCACTGCCTTCTACTTCATTTTGCATTAACAAATATGCATCTAATCTCACTGTTTCACCATACATGAATGCTGCACATCGCTTCCAAGCCCATTAACAGACTCAACTCAACTGCGTGACTCACAGCCTCAACTACCGAAATCCACATATTTTTATTCAGATATTATCATTCTGAACCGTTATGGGTGAAGCTGAGAAACTTCTAGAATGGGGCGCTTACATATAATATATATTGTGGCATGTCTGATGAAAGCTAGAATAGTTTAATCAGCAGAGACGGCTGTTGCGACGCAAAAGCTCTATAAACACACTTCCATGGCTACCATGTCACGTGAAGACGGCCGCCCTTACACGCAACAGAGGAACCATCAAGTCCGCGTCTGCAGTGGCATCAAGCAACAACAGGGGAGCTGCTGGTAACGGTGTTCACACACGGTCCGGCGCTAGGCGGACAGTGCCGCTACAATGGAACACGTAACACCACGTCACACAAATGAACACACGAACGGTGCTTTCTGTTGGGTCCGCTCCGAGGCTATATCACTCGACCGCGTGAAGCCTGGGGGTATAACTTGGACACTCTGATCCTGGGGGATATAAATACTGAGGTCTGACCCTCTAGGTTGGGAGAGTGTCGAATACGAGACAGTAAAATAAGGTCATGAGTCCCGTCGGACTGGTGCCCAAGAATTGCTGCGCTGGCGAGGACTAGCAGCAATTGTAAACGACAGATCCATCCCCTCATCAGAGAGGGCGACCTACATCAACAAATCAGCAATTGTCTGATAGTAATAAAAATCTGGTATTGGGCTCCAGATGAGTGCTTGACACCAAGACAGACTAGCCGACTGACCGTCTGTCGTAATATAACTCTGACTTTGCTATAGTTACTTGTAGTTACGATCTGTAAGTGTTCAATAAATCCAATTATCAATCCAATCCCTGTCTATAGTCACTTATCACGTGACATATTACACGTTTCAGGGTTTTCTTCTTTGGCTAAGTGTACGCCTAATAAATTTATATTGATACCTTTCGCGGAATGAAAGAATCAAACTATGACTGGCACTACTTTATCGATTTCATGTTACATGTATCCGCACTTACGGTAACAGAGATGGCCGCGCAATAGCTCAAGCGGTTAGTCGCTGGTTTCCCCCCGTGGCGGCCCGGGTTCGATCCCGCGTCTGGTCAAGTGGGATTTGTGGTGGACAAAGTGGCGCTGGGGCGGGTTTTGTCAGAGTACTTCGGTTCCCTGCCAATCTTCATCCCACCAATTGCTCCACAATCACCCTCACCTATCATCTGGGGCTGGTACAATAGGCCAGAAGTGGCCGCAGTACAAGGGACTTAGTCTCACCCCACTAGCAATGAAAAAATAATACGGCAACAGAGGTGGTTTCAGACAATTAGATAATTCTTCATTAACAAGTAGATCAAGAACAACTGCTACAATAACTTTAGTTTTTTTCCAAGCACAGACAACTTTCCACCAAACATACGTGAAATCAATTTTGATGAGCAGTCACTAAAGCTGAAGTAGTGGCATGCGAACCTACCGCGGCTACATACTTACGCTAATTTTCGAGCACAAAACTCTTATCGAAACGTGAATTAAATTTAGTACTTGAAGATGGTGCTTGTACACTTTCTTTGTGCTTCTTTGTCCGAAAATGGTCACTAATATCACTTGTCCTCTGTGAGAAATGCCTTACCTGTCCAATGGAGTGTATTTATATCCGATATTTATCAGTTTATCAGCCATAGTTCAATGACCAGTGAATATGACCAGTCCAGCTCTGAAAATAAGGGCCTCTTAGATCGACCCTCCTCCCAAAACAAAATGTCATTTTCTCGAAAACAGCTATAATGGTTTTCAATAAAATTCTGTAATTTGTGGAGACTGTCTCTCCAAACAAAACCGCATAATGACATATTCATCAACAGTATGCACACTAGGGGCCCAAATGCCAAATGTCGATTTTGCCAAAAAAATTACTTTACCGGCAGGACGGATTTCATTGCTATAAGGTGTTCAGTGTCAAACAATGGTCTATGTACAACCATCAATTTCGTTTCCAAGGTAACCAGTCATGGTCAATCGTATGTGATAAAGCACGTGCAATGTCTTCATACTGGTATTCAGGATAGCCTGAATTACGACCTCATGCTGTGCCAGTTACATCCAGTCCACATTTTCAGATCCTATTTCTCTGAATTTAATTTTCATATGACTAGGTTTCCAAGTAGCCTCTTTCACTGAGGTTTTTCGAGTTCATATTTACATGCATTTCTCCTTCCGCACGCCTGCTGCATGACCCGCCCAACTCATCCTTACTGATTTAACCACACTAATAATATCGGGCGAAAGTACAAACTACAAGCTCCACTTTTTTATTCTTAGGGTGGGATGAGACCGAGTCCCTTGGTACTTAGGTCATAAATGGCTCATTGTATCAGTTCCAGATAATAAACGAGATAAACTGAGGATTGGATGGAATTAATACTGGCAAGGGAAACAGTCATACTCGAATAAAACCTACCCCACTGCTCCTCGGCACACCACAAACCCCACCTAAACTGACCATAGACTGAAGCCGCGACGCCGCGACGCCGCGGTGAGAAGCCGGCTGAGTTATGGCACGGTCGTAGCATGAAAGTTACGGGAGAAGAAAAAGTAGATTTTCATCGCTTTTGAAACATAATTAGAATGAAAGACTGGCAAGTGCTTAACTCGCATATGCCACTCTTAACTGTGACAGCTTGGAGTGCTATTTCAATTTAGATCCAGTTATATCTTAATTTTGTTGCACTAGCTGAGTACTCAGCATTTATTTTCCGTCTTCCTAATGCAGCTTGCTTAAATGTTTCAATGGCAGGTCAGTTATTGCCACAACACATATTTATTCATTTGTTTCCTTTCTTCCTCGACAGGGAGTTTACAGAATGAAACAACAGAAAATGTACCTGAGGAAGGTCTTGTAAAGCCGAAACATATCATATGAATAACGAAGGAGTGAATGAAATATGACAGTGTGGTAATAACAGCACACTTATTGAAAGATGTAGTAAAGTTGCATTTGTAAGACTGAAAGTAAATACTAAGCAATAAATCCTAACTTACTATGACTCCTGTGCAGTTCATACATGCCATTTTCGGATACACGATCCATAATGGGGAGATAATCGACATTATACGAAGGAATCAATAATGCTCAATAAACATTTCCCTACTCTGAACAGGAATAACAAAGTAATACGAGATGGACCTGACCTATTTGCTTTAGAGTAAACACTGATTACCGTGGATCTATACATCCACTCCCACACACGCCATCATGGCGTAGTGCTTAATTAGTTCAGCACAGGGATAACTTAACCTTTTACCGATTACTCGGCGCACAAACCATGTTCTCTTTAAAAGACTCTCTCTTCCTCTATATGCACATTATCTTGAACCTGTGTACCCAGATGTGGTAACATTTCGGGGTAATATTCTTCAGTGATTCGTTTTCTCCGTCGGTAAATTGTCAAGAGATTACAATTCCAGGTTGACTGGGTACCAGATATTCCACTATTCGAAGTGGTCTTTCGGGAGAACCAGAAATGATGTAGGTGGTATGAACGTAAGGGCAAAGAAAAGAGTAAAATTCCAAGAAAACGCATTCTCGCAAACAACTGCTTCAAATAACTTTCTCATTGCAACTGAAGGTCGCGGCGAGTGGGGATTTACACTGAGAAAAGTTAAAACATAGAAATGATGCGTGGCAGTGTTGCCAGCGTCTTCCGGGAAGATGTCTTGTAGCCTGACAGTAAGGTTGCGGATCTTACATTCTGACTGAATATCATAAGGCATGTACAGTTTTCGGAAAATTGATTCAAACCCAAGGATTATTGCTGATATGTCTATGGAGTTCCACATTACAGATGGCAAAGTTGCTTTCAATTCCAGTTTACTTTCACCGTAACATGTTTATATTCACACTGACGATTACATCCATTATGCATATCGACAGACGACCGCATCTGTTACACAAGCAATATGCCACGTCTTCGGACGAGAGAAATGCACATATCTTTTGCGAAGACCTCTCGATAACTTGGAGGCCAACTTTCCTTCCTCCCCCCTCGCCGTTTAACCGAACTTCCAGCCAAGTCCTGTATGACCGTGCCACAACTCAGATGATGGGTCCCCGGCCTCCCGGCGCGGAGGTCTGGGTTCGATCCCAGGTCAGGTCATGTGGGATTTTTGGTGGACAAAGTGGCACTGGCGTAGATTTTACCCGAGTACTTCGGTTTCCCTTGTGAATTCTCATTCCATCCTCATCTATGGTCCGGGGTTGGTACAATACGTCAATTAGCGGCCAAACACCAAAATGGTCTATCTTACCCCACCACAAGAAATAAAATGTACATTAGTATCCACTGCCTTGTATACGGCTGCATACGGAACTTCGAGCGATGTCCTATACATAATAAGTACATGACTGTACAGTATCTTCCAAAATTATTTCACGCTGTGAGATATGCAGAGGTTAGGCTGGCTGTATGTCTACACAGTATTATTATAATACGACCGTAAACATAACAAATTCCTAACAAATAAACAAATATTATTGTATTAACAATCGTTTATTTTGTATTATGTATGTGGTATAATAATGCTATACAGTAATTCACAGAAGAATGCAAACAACAGAGATAGTGTCATTTAATGACTCTGTGGTCTCAACTTTCGTCACTACGTCTTTCAACTACAAGTTTATACAGCGCCAAGTAGCATGGTCATTTAGCATGGTCGGCAGCCTGGCCAAAAACACGAATAATACGAACAAGGTATTCGCTTAAAATTCGCTTAGTGGGGGGTGGAGTCCAACTGGGTCCACTCGGCACGGGGGCCACTGACTGGCCTATTGTAGCCTCTCCCGGGTGATTATGATGATGGAGAATTTGGTGAAATGAAGATTGGCAGGGGAAACCGAAGTACTCGGAGGAAACCCGCCCCAGCGCCACTTTGTCCACCACAAATCCCACTTGACCAGACCCGGGATCGAACCCGGGAAGGCAGCGACTAACCGCTTGAGCTATGGCGCGGCCCTTAAATACGAACAAGGTACTTCATGAATATAAATCAGATGCTTAACTGCTTGATCCATATGATATGACACGAATTTCTTGATACTTCAATATTTTATCACACTAGAAAGCTACATAAAGACTTCACACTTCAAAACAAGTCAGTCAGATTAATAAGAACCACATCACAGAGGCCTACCTTGAGATCTCTGTGAACAACTCCTTGTTCATGCATGTAGTCCACGGCTTCCAGTACCTGCCGGATAAGATCCGATGCGTCCTTTTCCGTATATGAGCCTTTCTCGACGATCCGGTCAAAGAGTTCGCCACCGGTGACCCTGCGACAAGTACATATCATTAGGTAAATCAGTCTCTGTTGAGTTGGCAATACTTACAGTGCTACTGGTGCCTGCAGCTTGTGCCGCTATGCAATCGCTGTCGGCATCATAGAGGAGGTTTATACACTTCATTTAATCCAATTCAGCAGACGGCAGAATAGCTCAGCATGTCGTACTGCTACAGCAGCTGTCGTCATGGTAACCAAGTTTACGCCAATATAGAAATAATAAAGCGCTATTTTAAGCCTCTCCCGCCAAGCTAACTAAGCCACTTTGTGATTAATAGTCTAGTATAGCAGATTATCTTGCATGCTGCATCAATTGTTAAGGTTAGAACGGCGTCGAATGCCACAGAATGATGAATGTGGGAGGAAGTTTTTTTTTTAAAGATGATCTCTTCCACGTATAGGACGCAATAGCACCCACAGCCATAACAGAAGTTCACTCTCCTCATTCTCTTCGGCTATTTTCCTTCTCAAGAAGGAAGCCCTAGTTTCTTCCTACGATTTTCCCAGTTCAGCATAGGCATAATAATAGCGACCCCATAAACACAGTGGTAAAAACTTACAACTAAGTAAATACGTGAACAACAGAATAATGATGGTATTACAAGTCTCTAAGTCCGCTTACATCAGCCACGAAGTTCTCAGAGTTAGTATGGAGAAGAAAAGTATGCTAAAAGACTTGGTTGTTCTGGTGAGGTGTCCATCAGTTCAGTAGAAAAAGGAATTCAGTTACCTTTTCCTCGGGTTGCGAATGAAGAAAGCGGCCGACAAATTCGTGAATATACTGAATAAGAAGTGACAGAAAGCCGAAAATGTGTGGGCTTCTAGTTTGTAGACTGGGCCTAGGGCTAACAAATGTTCCCCGTAGTATTTTCTGCACTATGATACCCATGTTTGAATCTCTTGATAATGGTCCACTTGCAAGACCGAGAAGCAGATGGGAAGGTATAATTGAGACAGCTTTAAGATATAAATGGTGTGGGTATGGGAGGCGAATAGTAGATAGGTATCAACGTTCGGAAAAACCTGCTGCCTCCGTCATAAAACATTCTCACATCCAAAAATACCGTAAGCTTGACACCGCCTGAGACCCTCAAATCCCACATACAGCAATATCTAATGTCTTGCTACAGGTCTACAGGGGGCACGTAGTAGCATAGGTGGTTGAGGCATTATGCTACAAGCCGGAAGGTCACGGGATCGAATTCCGATTAGGTCACTAGAATTTTCAATTGAACTAATCCTTCCAGCCGCAATATGGACCTGGGGTCGACTCAGTCTCTAACAGAAATGAGTACCAAGAATCTTCCTGGGGCTAAAGGTCTGACGGCGCATAAGGCTGACCTGACCGCCATCTGTGAGACTGTCTAGATGATGTGGGAGCCGCGACGTCTCACACCCTTATGGGCCTTCACGGCCTGTTACAGGGACAACTTTACTTTTTTCCAGGCCTACAGAGAAATCACTGAAAGTTAGAAGTTAGTAATAATTTAGCACACTTTATGCTAGTATAAATTTCCGCTACTATCAGATGATCAGAGATATTTCCGCCACAATGTCTGTAAATATTTGACACACACATACGAAAAACAAAAGATATATAACATAAAGTTCATAGGTATGTTTATGATCTCTTACGACAAATCTTTTATGTGCCTAGCATATAATTCTGTATTAACTTTCTCTGCCAAACAATAATGTAAATACTAACTAATTTAACTGCCATGAAATGATTCCTATAATACACGTATTTCTATTTTTTTTTCCTTGGCACTACAGCCCCAGTGGGCCTAGGCCTACCTCCATGAACTCTGTTCACTTCGGTTTTTCTCGATCTTACACATATGGTAGGACTCCTTGGGCGAGTGATCAGCTCGTCGCAAGGCCTCTACCTGTAGACAAACAGAAAAACGCACACAAACATCCATGCCCTGAGTGGGATTCGAACGCACGATCCCGGCTTCCGAGCGAGCGAAGACAGTGCACGCCTTAGACTGCTCGGCTACCGTGACCGGCAATATTTCTATTACAGCCTCCAAATTCCTTAATATAAAGCGTGTTATCACATGTCACCATTTACACCTATTATGTTCAGCTTGGAGAAATGTATTTTAAGGATGTTCTTTATGAGATCCATTGTCATAGTTTGAAACTGACTGGATGTCTGACTAACTAAACAACCAATTAACTAACTAATCAACTAACTACTAACTCCTTATTAAGTCAACGGCTGCTCAACCACTCAAAATATTCCCAGAATTTTCTGGCAAGTGAAGGTTCATTACAGTTTTCACAACAGCTAGCCACTGGTTCCTATCCTCAGCCAGATGAATGCAATCCACACCCCATTTTGTTTACCTAAGATCCATTTTGATATTATTCTCCCACCTACTTCAAGGTCTTTATACTGGTCTCTTTACTTCAAGTGTTTTATCAAAATTCTGCACGCATTCCTTTTCTTGCCCATGCGTGCTACATGCCCTTCCCACCTCATTCTCATTGACTTCATCCTTGTAAAATACCCGTCGAGAAGTTCATGCTAAGAGACTAGTAATCATAATATTATTCTCACTAATTTAATATTGTTAAGATTTTTTTCTGGTGGTACGATATGATATTTCGTACTTGTATTATTTTATAAAACACAAAGCAAAAAAAAAAACTCTTGCTTTAAATGAAGTGACGGAAGCTAAAATATGAACAAATATTGTTATTCTAAATTTTAACAGATCTCAGAATAGGGTATTAAGGAAAAAAATCTCTACACAAGAAAGATGATGTAACAGGAGAACAAAGAAAATGTTACAATGAGGAGTTCCACCGACGCTTCGGGAAACTTTCTTGGAATGATTAACTGAAGGACAATGAGATAGGTGGGTCATGCAAACATGTATGAGAGAAATGATAAATCCGTACAAAAATTTCGAAGGAAACCCTGAAGCGAGGCCTAGACGTAGAGGGGAGGATAATATTAAAACTGATCTTAAGAGGTGCGAAATTATGATCTGCATTCATCTGGCTCAAGACAGAGTGCAGTAGGATCTCTTGAGCACACGGTACTGTAGCTCCTGGTCCCATAAGGGGGCGGAGAATTTCTATAATAAGTGGGAATTATTAGCTTCCTAAGAATGACTCTGTTGAAATAGGCTAAGAAATTTTACAGTCAACAGGTTGCTGAAAGTTTTCGTAATCGATATGACCTTTTCGATATTTTAAAGTCATTTTATTTTGATATTTAAAAGCCAATTGTCACGCTGAATTCTGGTAACTTCCTTCATGTTCTCCTAATTCTTAGCAAACTACAAAAGAACATGTCTTCACCTTTGACTACATCATAAATCATTATGAGAAACAAATATGTAGTCATACGTTTCCTGCAGGCTTCTTATTGGGATTTCTGGTGTCTTGTTCATATTCTGGAGCACTACACCTTTTACTAACCAGTTTAACCACATTCAGCATTTATCATGAAATGCAAAGAAGCCTAACCATTACGCATTACTATTCCAACTATTCATGTGTCCAGAACTCTGCGAACTATTCTCCTCAGGCAATCAAAATTTGTTCCGTCTTGCTACTATATATAGGCTCATGGTGTCATAATGGCCACGATTTTTTTTAGTACAGTTTCAACCAAGTGCTGAACTCTTATGGTATGAACATCACACTACTTGCAAGAACCCACGTACGCTAAATTATTTAAAGGTAATTATTAATCAGACATTAAAACCAGGCATATAAAATTTTGTTGAAAAATAGATCATGAGCATACCTACACATTTTTTTGTATTAAGGTAAGGCAAAGTTACCCCTGTAACACGGCGTGAAGGCCCATAGGATTATGAGACATCGAGGCTCCCACATTTTCTACACAATCGGCTCACAGATGGCGGTAAGGTTGTCAGCCTTACGCGCCAGCCACCCTTTACCCCAGGAAGATTCCTGGTACTCATTTCTATTACAGACTGAGTAGATCCCAGGGTCATAGTGCGGCTGAATGGATTGGGTCAATTGAAAAAAATCCAATGATCTCGTCGGGAATCGAAACAGCGATCTTCCGGCTTGTAGCATAGTGCCTCACCGAACTACGCTACTGCGTGCCCTTTATTTTTGTACTGATAATTTCAAAATTAGAAGCATTATGAGAGTACTTCACAAATTTAACTCAATCGGATCTCGAATAATGTAAATTATGCTCAGAAATGCATGCATAATTCACGAGCTTATCCATTCGTAACTGTTTCCAGCCTCACGATACACACTGCAGCATCTGACGTCAAGCAGGCGTCGTAAGCTTTCTAGAACTTCCTCTTATTCTTCTGTTGCTTTTGTTATGTTCACCACCCAACCCTTATTTCTGTTTGTGACATGGCACGAAGCACGTATCACTATGCACAATTCCCAATTATTATGGGAAAAAGATGCTTTTGGATCCATACAAACTACTTTGCTGCAGCGACCTGGAATTTTATCCATAAAACTGGAAAAAATAAATTATCTATCTATTTCAAGTAACAGCCGGTCACGGTAGCCAAGCGGTGTAAGGCATGCACTGTCTCCGGTCGCTCCGAAGCCGGGATCGTGGGTTAGAATCCCACTCAGTGCATGGATGTTTAGTGTTTGTGTGTATGTTCTTCTGTGTTTGTATACAGGTGGAGGCCTTGCGACGAGCTGATCACCCGCCCAAGGAGTCATACCAAATGTCTAAGATCTAGTAAACCGAAGTGAAACGGAGTTTCATGAAGGTAGGCAAAGGCCCAAATTGGGCTTGTAGCGCCAAAGGAAAAGAAAAGAAAACTTTCAAGTACGAATTCACTATTTTGAATCATTTTCCATATCTACTCTTACACAGAAAGTACAAGAGAGGCTAGCCTAATTACAAGCTTGTATTATTGATTATGTGATACTGCGTGAAGCTGTTAACCGAAAAATGAGAGAAGGAAAGAATATTATGTTAAACAAGAAATTCCTATGCACAATACAAGCACCAGAGAT